AAACTAAAAATTCCAGCTTTTATTAGATAATTAATTAACTAACAATCGTAGGGTCTATACTTCTTCCTCTGTAAAGACAATATTACTTGATGTTATTTATTTCATTGTTAACTTACGTATATATATATTCATTTATTTAAAAGTACGTTATACGTTACACGTTATTTAAAAGTAATGCAACTTGCTTTATGTACATGTGTATGCATAAAATTGATGAAGATAAGTTCAAAATCAATCCACTTTGTGATGTATATGAAAATTTCAACGAATTATCAGTAAGAAAATTGAAAAGAATCATTTAATAGTCCAGAATACTCATTTTTGTATCTTAATGCCTGTTCTATAGACCAAACTATTTGAATTAATCAACGATGAGAATAGCTCAAATTTACAGTATTATTTTGTAATCTAAATAAAATAGTTCTATATCAAATTTTCAAATTTAAAGATCCAGCATTTGTTTCCGTGAAACCGCCACTAATGCACCTGCGCAGAAAGATGCGCGTACTTTTACGTCTATAAAAATTGTTCACATCGCATACTGCGGCAGGGCCAGAAACGAGGAAGATTCTCCGGTAGCCAGCAAACCATTTTTCTGTCGTCAAACGGATCAAGCTTTTTGTGAGACTTGGATCGATCACAAAAAGCGGGATTCGCTTTTCGCATAGGAATTGGCCTGTTAAGGAGCCAGCTTAATCACACAGAAAGTTTGAAAATTGTGAGTAAAGGTAGTGACTTTTTTTAATTTCGTGTAGCGGACGATACTGTGACCGGTTGATCTGTGCGCCTTTATCATCATTTTAAATATAACTCTGTCAGTGATGAAAGTCATCACTCGCTCTATTCTCATTCGAATGTTAATAAGACTTAACCTTTATATTTTATTTCTATACTTTCTATGCTCCACATACTAGAATTAATCAATGAATTTTATAACAATCATGGCTGCCAGCCGGTTTTCGTACCCTTTTATACTGTATACAGCTTATGTTCGTCAATAACTACTTAACTGGAATAATAGTATGACCTTATTATTCTGACTGAATATTGAACAACATCAGCATAAAATCAAATTTTTTGTCATGTTGATTCCACGAGCTCATGGATATTCTGTTTAGTAGCATGATTTGTCAAATCATTAGAAACTTCGTATATTCGTAAACACAGTGTTTGAAAATTGGCTTTATCACGTGAATTAACGCATTTAGTGATCAATAATTTTTTCTATGGGATTATAAACAAAAATTGTTTAGAAAAATTTACAAGCATTTTAGTGAATCATTATTTTCTTTTGGAGTTAGTGTTTTTAAGTCTTTTTTTATTAATATTTTTCACTTTACATTATGCTTATAATTGGTTGATACTTAACAACTTGATAATAACAATATGTTGTAATTTACATTTATAAAATTTATTGCAACTTATATAAATTACAATGTGTTCATATGTTTAATTGTATTATTTAATGAAGGTAAAACACATTTTCATCTGTAGATTACAAAAATGGAGGAAATACATCAACCACAACAGGTTGGGCCTAATGCAATGAGCATTGGAAGCGGAGTTCTTAACCACCCAAATAATGTTAACCGACGTGGCAGAGTCCGAATGACATTACATAGTTTAATGGTGGAAAAGCTTCCATTAAGTGAGGCTGCTCAATTGGAGATGAAATCATTGAACAGTAAAACACCAGTTTCTATTCTTCAGGAATTGCTTTCTCGTAGGGGCACAACACCAAAGTATGAGCTAATACAAGTAGAAGGTGCTATCCACGAGCCTATTTTTCGTTACCGTGTCACTGTTGCTGATATTGTTGGTTTGTATCTAATTTTGATGATATTATTAGTTAATATACCTTAACTCTACAAAAACACACTATCTTCTCAAATTATAAAATGTCATAGTGGGATTTCTTTAAAAATTTTTTGAAAACTTCTTGAAATACTGAAATGTATAGCTACAAGATTCAATTGTCTAAGAGAAGTTAAAAAAAGTTTCTTATTTACAATTAAATGATTTTGGTGTGCACTTGCAGGGTTAATTATCATTAATTTATAAATTTAGTTTAAATGATACATAATCTGAAAATAAATACACAGAAATGTAAGCAACTGTTTACTTATTAATTAGGCTATTATGCCATTAGTTGCTTACTTAATTTGAATTCCATTCAAGTAGTGAATGATAAGTATTGATTGATTGAAGCAGATCCAATTGTTTCAGCAATGGGGACTGGAAAGTCAAAGAAGGAGGCCAAACATGCAGCCGCACGGGCTGTATTGGACAAGTTGTGTAGACTAAATAGTGAGACACCAGATTCTCCACTCGCAAATAATGTATCAGAGTAAGTTTTATGTTTACATGTATATATATTTGAATAAATCAATAATTCAGTTTATTCAATTTATGTAGTTCTGAAAATTTACAAGAGTTATCCGAGTATGGAGAGGAAAAAATAATCACAAATCCAATTGGTGCACTGCAAGAAATGTGTATGTCACGCCACTGGCCTCCACCGAAATATGCTATGGAAAATGAAGAAGGTCTGCCACATGAAAGACAGTTCACTATTGTTTGTTCTATTTTGAAGTACCATGAAGTTGGTCAAGGAAAAAGTAAAAAAGTTGCAAAGAGGCATGCAGCTCATAAAATGTGGCGAGCTCTACATGATGTGAATTCTGAAAATCCTAATCTAGATGAGGATGAGGTAAGAATAATTCTTATTCTTCTATTAAATATACTTTCACGTAAACATAATTTTTCTTGCTTCAAGTAAACAAAAGTATATATATTATGTTTTTAATTGTTCATCCACTCAGCATTCAAAAATTTAAATATTCTATGTATAAAAAAGAATAATCACTTAACTGTTTCGAGACTACTAACGCATACATCGAAGCAATTGTGTGTGTTAGCCACAAACATAGTTTACTAATTATGATACAATTTCTTACCATGCTTTGGATGCATTTTTTGACGCGGATTTCGAATTTGAACAACCACTACTGTGTTGGCATAATATCCGTAATGATTTCAGCATAAGATTCTGAATTTCAGTTCTTATAGGGTTACCCCTTTTGCTGTTTTGCTCGCATGACATACAGGCAAGGTATCCGGAATCTCACTGTTTTGTTCCTTTTTATTGAATAGCGAAAAGGTTAATATGCTTTTGTGTACTTGTATGTGTACAGTTTTAGTGTATGTGTGTGTATGCTTAGTGAAGTGGAAGTGATTTGGCACTGTAAGCAGTATTACGAGGTATAAGCTACCTTTCTGATCACCATTAATCTATAACGGATAATTTGTTGAGGATATAAATTGTGTAATATGTATATGTTATATGTATTTATGCTAAGACATACTTGTACAGCAACACATGTTAATTAACAGTAAACACGCTTGGATCATTTCCACTTCATTTTACTCTTAATATAAGTGCAGTCATTGGTGAATCATCTCCAATGATAAGCATATAATTAAGCTTTTAAATATATTGTCCGTTATAGGTTTTACAAAGAAATGCAAATGTGAATGCCCGTTATGCAGATCTGAAAGGTAGCAAAATTTCAACATTAACAACTATTCATAGCCTTAAAGTTTCACAATTTCATAAAAGTCTGAAGTCATCAACTGGTGTTAAACTATTTGAACTACAGGTGTGTAATGAAATTGAACTTTATTAAAAACATGTAGACGTTGTCTTCTTTTTCATCATATTATATTCTCTTTGTTATATTTATCTGTTACAGAATACATGTTTAAATGATGGTGATGTAAATTTGGTACAATTTTTGCAAGAGATAGCTTCCGAGCAGCAATTCGAAGTAACTTATGTTGATATTGAAGAAAAGTCTATCAGCGGTAAGTTATTATCAATTAATATTATATTAATAAAATATACTTATTTTTCTGTAAGCACAAGATCTACAAGAACATCGTGTTCTGTCGTCGGTATATCGTCCCGTATTTGTTCATTAAATGCCACTGCAATTAAGTGTGGTTTTTTGTGTTTTTTGAAATACGTATTTAAAAATGAATCATAATAACCCATTCCATGTCCTAAACGTTTCCCTAAAACGCACAAAAAAATATAAACTAATTTTTTAACAGAACATTTATTATTTATTTTTTTAACTTACCATTAATAGTAAATGCAACACCAGGTAGAATTATCAAATCCAAACCACCTATAATAAAATGTTACTTTTATAATTAGATATATATAATGTTTTCATAACTCTAATGTTTTATAGTAATATTATTTGAAGAGTTAGAACGGAATTTTTATAATATTTTTTTACATTGTATTTAAAGACTATTTAAAGA